GTGTCTCTTTAAGAAGACATTGAGCTTGGGAACATAGGACCACGGGAACATAAATACGCTCCCAGGCTGGCTCCATTCTTGATTACTGATAAAAACTCAACACAGTAGTGGCAGTGACCTTGGGAGTATCAACACATGTTGTCAATGCACATCTCCTCAGCTGCTTTAGTGTTGCTTACATTCTGCTGTTATGGTACAAAAACTTGAATAAAAATTGAATACTCCTAGAGTCAGTCTCACTTACTGCTGGAATTTTTCATCAATTTATTGATTTTGATCTATTCGACATGCAGCTGGTAACAAGCATTTTAACTAAAATACTACATGCCATTACTGCTGCTTAGCCTGTATTTTATTTTCTTAAGTCTGCACTTTCAGCAGCTACCATTGTGGAAAGGAAATTACTTTCCCTTGTGCATGTCAAATAAATCTCAGACAAGTATGTGCAAGTGTTTAATATCAGTATGTCTTGGCTGGGAGTCGGGGCTGGGAGAATGTGACTGAGGGAAGAGGCAGTTAACTTAATGAATAGCCACAGTGATAAGGTAGCTGCGTGTCAGCGGTCATCGCAGAAGACGCTGATGTCCAGCCTGAGACAGACACACACATCAGCTTCGCCCCTTGCTTGATAGAGTACACCCAGAGTTCATGTGCATTATTTTCTCCGTAGACATTAGGGACCTGATCTGTGTCACGTAGTGCTACCGTGCTGCTCATACTTCGAGCAGACAGTGTAAATTCCCCGACTGAGTTATGCTCCACAACTTAAACTACATCCAGACCATCTGGCCTCAGCGTTGCTCCACCACAGGATGGAAAGATCATGAAGACTAAAGCAGAGCTTGGCGGCTACAAATGGACATCCATCTTATCCACAATACCTTTTGATCAATCGGATGTGGCAATTACCCGCTGAACAGTCCGTGTATTTAATCTGGGTTGTTTGGGGGGAACTGGGTGCCCTGCTTCAAATACATGGTGTTCTAGTAAATTAACAAGTGGAAGGCTACTTCTTATTGTGCCGTGTGTCTCCTGCAGATCTGTGGTGTGAGAGAACTGCACACAGGGGTTGGATGTCTGTGGGTTTGGTGTTCTGACGCTATGATTGATTTTGATACACAGAAGAAAGGGATAAAATTCCAAATGAAATAGGCTTTTGATGAGAGGTTTTTCCCCATTCCACAACCTCTGGGCAAAGCTGGTATGGCAACTGATCAACTAGTTTATATAATCTCTGGTAGCTTCAGAGCTGGCAGCTATGGTCCTTATGAGTCCTCAACATAGACATGGTCCTTGAGGTGTTCTCATTTATTAATAGTAGTGGTATGAAATTGGGTGCTGCAAGAAAAATGTTTCTGTCTTTACATGTATTTGTACTAGTGATATTGTGTTTCCCCTTCCTTTTATAGGCTCAATACTTGATTCAAAACATTTGACGAGATGGCCAAAATACTCTGAGCGTTAACTTGCATTTAAGCTTCTAATATGAACCTAATTTGTTCAGAACATATTGTGTAGTAGCTCAAATAGCAAAGGAGCTACTGGAACGCAAACGCACACAGAAGAACTGTGAGGTTATATGAAATAATTTTGGAACAACAGTGTGTAGCATCAACCGTAAAGGTGCAGTTTGTAATTCTGGGGAAAGAATACCGATGCTTTGGGTTGGTAGTTCGGTCCGACTACCAACCCACAGTCATTTTTATTTAACAATGGGGGACATGAGACTCAACAATCTACAATCTTCCTCCAGAATTGCAAACAGAACCTTGAACACAGCAGTTGGCTAAGTAATGTGGACATCTGTGATCTTGACTTAACAAAAACACAAAACAAAAAAAGACATTACAGTTGCTGATCGGGTAAAATAAATTATTAAATAGCCAAAGCCAACTTTAAATTAAAGTTAAATTAAATTAAAATAGCATTTATCATGTCACAGTGCAGTCACATTCCTGTTAAATTTCACTGGAGGGTGTTGAAAACAGGCAAATGATTGTCAGAAATTATGTTGAACAAATAATCATATCCCAAGCCGACATAGCGTATGAAATGACTCCGTTCCAACCCTGAGGCTTGGTTTTCCAATTCAATACCAAGGATGATGACATTTTTCCTCTGAATCACCTAGCATTTGATGGGAACCAGATCAACCCCCTCCGCCTTTTCCTGCTCAACAAAATGTCCAACGTGTACTTTAGTTCTAGGTTCAGTGACAATGACAGTGGCCTAGCAACATAAGGAAACGCCACACCAACTGTCACCAATGATTCCCAATTAAATGATGCAAAATCCTGACTGTTGCATGCAAATCTGACATTATCTTTTTCCAACTTGACCCTGCCCATGTCAAACCATTAGGAAGGGTAAAAACAAAAACACAGAATTCTCAAATGTGGAATAATCAAAACATGTCAAACCTTGGCAGTGTGCCTTCATTTAGGATGCCATCAGTTAAATTTAGAAGCTCACTGAGAGAAAAATGTTTTCAGGCCTGGTATTTTTCAACCTGGACCCTATTTTCCCCCACTTTTGAGTCTAGAGCAACTTTCTCGCTGGACAAAAAAAAAATCACTTCTGCCCACTTAAATCTAGCTTCTGTCTTTAGTGGGAAAGGATACAATCTATTAATTTCCAGGACAAATGACTCTGCAGTAGTCACAGTTATTTATCCGCTCCAGCTCAGAATGCCGTTGATGACAATAAGGTATCTTCGAGCATATGTTAATTTTTGCCCCTTTTCCAGAGCAATGCAATGTAGTGCTGCCACAAATTCTGTCCATCTTCAGCCAAGTAGCGCTCAAACATTGTTAAAAATTAGTTGGCACCAAGTTTAAGAGAGAGACTGAATAAGTAACAGATATAAAAAAAAAGAAATGAGCACCATATTTTTACTGATCTCCATGCTCCATGCAATAAACATGACATACCAGTAAAATAAAAAAAAAGAAGAAGTAAACAGAAAGGCAAACATCTCTACTGCAGAGACGTGTACACAGCTCTGGTCCACTTGCACTGGCAAAGGAGTCTATCTGTTTAAATGGGTTTTCCCACATTAAAAAAAAACCACATATGTGCTAATTTTGATGGAAAAGGGTAAAAATTGTATTATGTCTTTAAAAAACCTTGATAAAATTTTCTGATGTTTATCTATGTGACTAATGATAAAAAATGGTTCAGAAGTGAGCAAGAGTGCTGCAGCTCGCAGTGGCTAAACAGGCTGCAATGTAAGAAGCAATAGTGCACCGTCAATGTACAACCACTAGCACAGCTTGTTTTCACCACTAAGTGTCTAACAAGAAATAAAACATTTCTCTTTACCTTTCACTCGTCTAACCAAGCCTCGCTCAAGGAGTTAGTGCAGGAAGACAAAATAGACCAGGAACATCAAGTAAAAAGTAACAAAAAAACATTTAATTTCTTTGTAATATCCTTTCCATAATGTTACCAGACACTCTAACTAACAATCTTAGCCTGTCTATGGCAAAAACAACTTCTTTTATTGGACGTACACTGATGATATGCCATTGCTCCGAAGACTGCATTACAGCATGTTTCTCAGCTGCCGCCTGCAGCACTCTCACTCAATATTGGACCAGTTTGAAAAACAGTTGTTTCCATTCATCACTTAGACACTAAAAACATGGGGAAAGAGTCCAGGTTGAAGAATACCAAATTTTCCATTTAATCGATCTCCCACATCAGCGATGTCTCCTACATATTGTAGATTGACGATTAATTATAATGTTGTTTAATCCAAACACTATAGCTCTATCAATGGGAAAAGTATTTGGCAATATTGCAAAATCTGTTTATTTTAAAGAATATAATAATCCCAAACATTTTTGCATTTCTCAGGAAAAAAAGCAAAGGTTCCTCATGTTTACCTTATACCCTTTTTTTCTGGTCCTTCAATGAGTTACAGGCATGCTTACAAGTCATAACTCAAGAAGCAACATGAATACATATCAGTAGCAGACTTTGTGTAAGCCCAGCGTTCGACCTTTGCATAATGAGGACGATATCTGTAGGTGGCCTTCCCACGCCTGTCATCCCACTGTTCAGCTCTGCGCACACATGCACACTCCGTGCAAGTTTTAACAGTTTAACAAAACTCACCACGCTCCTTTAACCAATGAGTTACAACCATGCATTCCCCAGAGAATTTATTGTCCGTCAGAGACGGCGGCCAATCATGTCGTTAAGCTCAGTGATCCGCTTCCATGGCAATATTTTGACCTGAGCTCTGGGACACCTGCTGGTGTGCTACACAGTGGCTGATAATGAGAAGGGAAAAGAGCTGAAGCTGGGGAAGGAGAGGAGAGATGAAGAAAGGAAGGAAGGGGGGGGGGGGGGGGGGGAAAAAAGGGGGGGGGGGGGGGGGGGGGGGGGGGGGGGGGGGGATAAAAGCAAGGACAGGAGGAGGGGAAGGATCCTGGAGAGATGAGCACAAGAGACAAGAAGAAAGAGCATGAAGAAACAGGGAAGAGGAGGGTAAAAAGAACAAATGCCAGAGGGAGAGTGTTTATCTGCATGTCACACAGGGGAGAGGGATGCTAGGCTGTGATTAGAAAGACAAATCACTTCATTCACAAAACATAAGCTTTACAGACGCATGCAAAGTGCCGTCAAACTGAATTTGCATTGCCAGCTTTGACTGCTCGAGATAATGACACAGAAAACAGTATAGCAGTAGTAGTTTTTCTGTAGCCTTCAGGAACTACTGAAACGAGACTGCCAAAACAAACAGCACATTAGTTTTACATCCTAACATAAACTAGAGGCTCTCATTCTTTACTTCCCAAATAATTTAATCTATATCATTTAGAAATACTGACGTGCATAACTATCAAGTACGCATACTTTGTGGGAAAATCAGTCCAAAATCAATAGTGCACACACAAAATTCACGGTAATTTAGTGAGTCCGAGGGCATCAATCAAGATGGCTTCAGAGTAATGCCATTATCTAGGAAGGCCTTAGATCTCTCAGATTTCTTTTCATCCCAGTTGATCCTCATATTGCTTACGGAAACAGTCTCCCACAGGGAAGAATTCCCAGCACCGCTCCTGGTACATTTTCCACACATAGGATTCCTGGCAAAGACAACAGAGCGGTAATATATCTCTTAACTACCCCAAACGTATCCATTCTTCAGTAAAATAACTCTGAACAGTGTCCACAAATAATATTGTTTCAAATTTAAGCTCTTCCAGTGTTTGTCTGGCCCGTCGAGAAACATTTTCCACATTCCACCTAGCAGCTCCCTCTTTAATCCACACCTGAGAATAACACCACACTGAAAGGATACACACAGTATATCTAGGGATGAGTCCCAGAGCATAGCTCCGTTTGGAAATAGCACCCAATTGTCGTAAATGTTTCAGGGTGATAAACAGTGTAATATTTTCTTCTTTTTATCAATTCCGCAGCATCAGATCCAAAATGCAGTCAGCGCTGCGAAGATAAACCTAAATTATTCCAAATATGAATGGATTTATTACTGTTTTTATTTTACACTGTGCAGTGTTTACAGTTGAGCGTGTCCTCGTTTATTCTGACGGACATCTCTTTCATAGATTTAGGTACAGTACAGTACAGTACAGTGTGAGGAACAAGAGAGGAAGTTGAAGCTCTTTAAATACACTGAAACTATTATTTCCTCGCTGATTTACAGTAAAGCACTCGTCTTTGCTCCTCTAGGCCACAAGTCATTTGAACATGTTGTAGTGAAAAGATAAGACAAGTAAATTAAAATACTTGCAAGTTGAAACCCCCCACTTCAGATTTATAGCTGTAATACAGTAATGGTTTATGAGTGAAAAGATAAATTAGAATCATAAGGGGTATGCCTGGCATGTACATTATCATAAAATGTGCGTGTTGAAACTGATAGGGCTTTTGAGAGACAGAATGAATACAGATTCTGTCTTTGCTGAAAAGGTTACACTACAGCTTTGTCAATGCGATGACATAAGCTGGAATAAATAGGTCACTGAGACACTCAGGAACGATTGTGGATATATTAAGGAATGTGGCATTTGACGATGACAGAAGAATTGTTTCCTAGCTTTAAAAGTGCACACCTTGTTCTGACTTTGATTGGATCATGCAACAAAACAAGAGAGATGACTCGTATACCTGCCCCGTGTGTTCAGTTTCATCCTTGTTAATAAGGTACATCAGAAAAAATCTGTAGGAACACAGAAGAGGGGTTCATGTAGCGCATCACGTACCTCCCACACAGAGAGTTACAGCATTAAATTAAGAGCTTGTGCACAAGGCCAGGGATTGTGGAAACAGTTGTTAGTAGTTAGTTAGTTAGTTAGTTAGTTTAGTTGGTATTTCAAGTGGAAATACAATGAGAGAAAACAGCTGTATTTTGACAATCAGGTTATTTGCTTCAATGCTTGTAATCATTTATAGGTTGACAAGAAGAATGAAGCAATGAATTGTGACGTTTCAGTCTGCAGACCTTCATCAGGTAGGCTTTTAATGTTGCATGAAGGACAACCATGCATACATAGACATGAGCATAGCAAGGTCTGTTGGTGAGAGGATGCAAACACATAGAGAAATCCATACTAATTAGGTTCAATAAGCTTTGTCAATGGCAATTACTGATGTGGCAACAGTGCACAGTGCAACAACAACTTATAAAATAACCATTACTAATCATCCGCATCATGGAAAAGGTGTTCATTAATTCAGTGGCTCAATTGTGCATCCACACAAGTGACATACAGTGTTTGTGACGTTTGTGTTATATGTGCAAAACCATTGAAAACCTAATAAAAATTGTGTCAGTGAAGATTTAGGTAAATATTTTCTGCTGTTAAACATTTTCTCACCTCTATTCGCATTTCATCCTTTTGTGATGAGTTTTATTTGTATCTTCATGGATTTTTCTGCTATATTTTCTACTATTTTATTGTTTGTTATCAAAAAAGCTCATATGGATGCTCCAATATATGTTAGCGTCCTGTGACCAATTGATTCATACTTGCCTGTGTCTATATTTGTATGGTAGTGGAGCTTCTTTACTTCTTAAAGGTTGCATGGAAGTATGAAGGCAGTGGCGGTTATGCTTGAAAATAATGTATCTATTGTCGTATACAAAAGGAGTATAAATGAGTCTTAAGAGGAGGCAAAAAGTCCTGTGTTTTCGTCTGTAGGCTTAAGTTGGTCGAGACACATCCACTAGATGGCACAAGAGGGCAGAGTCAAAAGTTTCTGACATGGCGACGGTGGAGGAGGTTGTAATACTAGGTTCGTTCAAGATGAACCAGGCCTGCGCAGATTCGATCACCGGCGATCGGCGCACAATGCATGCCGGTTAATTTTGTGTCTGACTTCATCCCGACTTGCTCTGACGTATTACAAAAGTGGACAGCGATGAAACCACGAGAGCGAGGCGGCCGCAGTTTTCAGAGCCAGGCGCTGCAGTTGCTTTCCATCGACTGCACCGCCTGGCTCTCACCTGATCTAACAGCTGATTGGTTTAGATGTCGACTCAACAAGATGACGTTTAGATAAACTACTCATTTTTCTAGAATTTTAGAGATTAAGATTGTATTTGTCTGATTTGAAGGTTTATTCTGTGAACAGAAAACACGTGTAACTGATAGTGAAGTTTAGTCATCAGAGACTAAATACATTCATCATAAACTATACAGAGTCTACTGTATATTAACACTGGCCTGTTTTAATTAGGGTCCGGGCAGCTAAACTGCCAGGACACTATTGTAATCCTAGGTATTCTTCTTCTTCTTCTTTCTTCTTCCTAGGAAATCATACTTCCCATGGGTGAAAACTCACCAAACTTTGCACAAAGGTCCAGTCTCACGCCAGATATCCTCAGCTGTAAACTCAAGCCAATAGTCCTGATGGTGGCGCTACAGCAAGCGTCTAAAGTTCAAAACTTTGAAAATTCATAACAAATCAACCATACGTGCTACAACTTCACAACTTTCATCAAACTGTAGCCCCAATACCGAAGAAACTTTTATACATTTGAACCTATTAAAAATCATGAAGTTCATCACTCTGTTTTTTTTTTCAAAAACTGTAAAACTTCCTATCTCCTCCCAAAATTTTTGCTCAATTGACACCAAACTTGCTACAGAGCATCTTCAGACTGTCCTACACAAACTGTTTCTCAGATTTTTGATTTATTAAAAACTGAGCCTACAGTGCATCAAAATGTTTGACCGTAAATGGTACTGTAAACATATACATGCAAATTCTTGCTAAATAAATCTTCAATGTTCATTAAAAAAATGACAAAATTCTAGAGTCATGGTAGATGATGTGTGGCAAATTTCAGAATTTTATCTCAAAAACTGAATTTTTGACAGCATTTTGAATTTTGCTCTAATGTGAACAATTGGAGTCAATGTAAAAATGGCAATTTTAAACATCAGTTTTTCACTTATGGAGCAAACCAATCATTGTTACAAACAAATTACCAACATCTCCATGCTGTCTAGATGCAATATGTGTATTTTCAGATTTTTGTCTTAATAACTGAATTTTTTTACAGTGGTTTCAAATCTGCCTTTCCATGCACAGATGGCTGCTAAACCTGCACGTCTGGCAGTTCAAGCCTCAGCTGATGCAAAAGGCAGATTGTGTTGCTAAATTTCTAAATGGCTTCCAATTCTTCTGCTTGTTGCTCAGAATTGCCTAAAAATGCCCGGACCCGACCCATCGCTGCGCAGCACCTATAATTACTGAAGTATTTAGCAACACAGAGACTTGTGGTCAGTGGGATGTGAGGATTCTTAAAATAACATCTGTACAGATGTGAAGCCCTGACTGTATCTAACTGAGCCTTAATAAAAGCTGTTGTCATGTATTCTTTTCCTCTGAAAATATGAACCTTATAGTCAAGCACTGTTTATTTAGCCTGTGTAGTTGAGGGGACAGGTCAAACTGATATGATGCTGATTCACAGGAGAATTCACGTCAAATGGAGGTTAAACCATGAACATAAACTACAGATCACCTGTAACGCATTTTAATAAATTAATCTATCATAATTAAAACAACTGGAGACTGAGAACAAACTGATATATGGGTCTGATCACTTTTTTAATTAATTGACATCATTCCAGACAGGATGTAAGTGTGTCTGTGACTTCCTGTACGGACTGAAGACTGTGGGAAACTGTCGGAAGACTGTCCGACTTCACCGCAGCTTTTTGTCACCGCCCCCCGGTGCGGCCGCCTGCTCTCGTCTACTTTCCAGGCGAGGCGCAGTCCATCTCGAACGAGCCTAAAGTTCCATTTAAAGATGGCTGTATTGTAGCTGGTCATTGTCGCTGAGGCCATTCAATAAATACGTCCCATTCCGTCATTTTTAAAGTCTCTTTATCAAGTTCTACTGTCGTGTCTTGCTTGAACTATGCTACACTGCCCCCATGATTTCCAGTGGTACTGCTCCAATTTGTCCTTATCTGTACGCTTCCAGAAAATGTGCACAAATACAGACGACATGAACGCAGAGTACAGACAGAAGGCGGTTAACTATTGATAAATATGAAACAAGACAGTGGTTTGAAACTGAATTCTAAATGCAGGTGCGGAGGTCTACCAGGGAATGTAAACATAACACTGCCGTTAATATTTTAAACCAAAAACAGGCCTAAAGCCAAACAGAGTGACATTGTTTAGAACATGATAGGGCTATTGGTTTATAGGGATAAACTGTTAAAACAGCCAAGTGGATGAATGATTAACTAACATCAACACAAACTGAGGTGTCATTTTTCCGTAAGTGATGTTGGCGCATGCATAATATTTCTGCTTCACTGCAGCTGTGAAAGACAACATCACAAGCGCCTTCAACTGGCAACACATCAAGTCGTGAGTTTTAGTATTTACAAAATTAGTAGGTCGAGGCATGACAGTAGTGAGCGTTAAATCAACTCACAGATAGTTGGCCAAGTTGTGCTCCTGTAGAGTGTGAGTCTCGAAGCCATGAGGGACCGTATCAAAGTACTCACTTCCTATTCCACATATAAAACATTTGGTCTGCGGGAGGAGAGATGTAAGACATGCAATGATTCATGAAACGGTCTCAGAGAAGCATGTTCTCAAGAGCATGTTAAAAGAAAAATAACCTCAAAGCCAGAGGCCTTTTCTGTTAGTGCTCTGTGACTCAGACGCACAACAATATGACACCTTTTAAGATGCTTCTCTTACAACGACACTCAAAGGATGCCCACAAAAGGACTGTAAATAAGAGCAACTAAATACTCCCAGGACTACTCACTGCCAGGTTTTCAGAAAACACAGGGGGGCATATTTGCTGAGGATTTGCATCATTTTGGGGGTTATGAAACAGTCAAATTACCACCCCATATTTAATATGTAGCCGCACAAAGGTTCTGTGTTGGTAAAATGACAGAAAAAAAGGGATTTGCGGTTAAAGCAATGTGTATTTAGGGGACTCCTATTTAGAGCTACAAATTATGGGGATGCGAGTAGCAGCAGAAACTGATTTATCATTGCCAACTGCAGCAGAGCAAATTGTGTCTAAATAAAACAGTGCCTCAAATTTTTACAGCTGCTTTCCCAGATGTTAAATATCTGGGAAAGCAGCTATAAAATCTGAGGCACTGTTTCATTTTTTGAGAGACACACAGTGGAGAGAAACCAGGGAATACATGAAAACACACATTAATAACAAGACATGACCTGACACCTGAGAGCTGCTATTCTTCCTCTGGCCATTCAGATTGGGTGATTCAACAATATTCAAGAGGAAAACAGACAGTGTGAGCTGTGTGATTTGGGTGAAGTGGGAAGTGAGAGACATTTTCTTTTATACTGTACAAACTATGATGACTTAAGAGAGTTACTGTTCCATGAAATGGCTTGACTAAACCCTGGGATACTCTGGTCCTCTGATGACCAAAAGCTGGAATGGCTGTTTAATTTTGAAGTGTTTAGGTTTGCCAAATTTGCCACAAAAGTGGAAAAGAAGGAAAGATACAGTGTTTAATTAGCACTTGTTTTACTCAGTGATTTGTTTACTGAGGATGCGTGAGTCGCTTTGCTCTATTTTTTGTTTCCCCTCTTCTCTTTTTTTCTTATTGTTGTCTGAAAATGCTCTACACTAGACTGTGATCCTAGCTTGTTTGATTTTATGGTATCTTGTTAGTCCATGCAGGCTGGGCATAATTGTTTGCATGGCACAATAATAAAAAATTAATTCATTTACTCACTATACTATACATTAATATCATACTGTTCATGATCATATCCCCTGCTTGCTTCAGTTAAACATTTTGCTTGAGTTCTTTTTTAGTCTTTTTCTGCACAGCAGCTCTCTGCTTTTTCGTGTGATGTGTATTTTTCATGTGAATGTACAGTGTTTGCCACTCATGACCATGACAACTATGCATTCAGTGACATCACACGTGCACCCTTTATGTTTAAAGGGTAGCTCGCCGCTGTTTGTCAGAGCGTCTCTTCTGCCTTGTTGCCTCAGCAGTCCCGCCTTTGATCTCACGCCTGCCTCTCCTGCACCTTTGGACTTGTTTGCCTGTTCCGACTACATACGGTTGTCAGCCTGCTAATAAAGTCTCTTGTAACCTTACTTGTCCTGCCTGCATGGCTTGCTTTGGTAGGATTTTGTTCACATCTGCTGCTGCCTTTAGAGGCGTAGCTCTGAGGTTTGTACAGTATGCACCGAGGCTACGTGGTCAGTAAACTCCTGAGGTTCCAACAAACAAGCGTTACATGTAACTGGCTCAGCAACTCTGAGCGATGCACTTTGTGGAATCGTAATTATGAAGAAATGCACCTTCATTTGTATTCTGCTGTATCTAGCCTTCACTCACTAAGCCCTAAATGAACTTACATTCTCTAACAACACTACACTTGTGTCAGTATGCAAGCAGTGTGACAGGAGTCTAACAAGCCTCAGAGACTGAGAGTTCTGAGCAAACAATGATTTAAACAGCCAACTGCTGCCAAAGACAGCAAGTGATGCTTATCTTATCCAAAATATATTCCTCCAGGTGTGCCATTTACACATAAATACCAGTGATTTTTTTCCCTCAGATTTCACTTTCTGTTACTGTTATCCACTAACTATTCAGAAGGAATAGATAACGGCATCCTCTCATTAAGGCCAGTGGTACGATCGTTTCCTGTAACACACAACAACTAAATCTACTTAACTTGCTCAATCTTGTGCTCACAGTTATCTCTTTACACACTAACTTAAATTACAACTGACCTCAAGCTTACTTGGCAACTGTTGTCAAGTATTTATCTAGATCGGTATCTAAATCGGCACAGCACTTCATACTGTGCAACCACAGACTGAGTTTGGCATTACGGCTGTTGCCATCTTGGTTTTTTGGAGCCAGAAGTGACCATATTTGGATAAATGGCTGGAGCTGTGGAGGAACGAGGGGTGGATCTGATGGAGACGAATCAGCTGACAGTCATCACTTGAAGTGGTCCTGCCCTAATTACGCATAACTTCGGCTTCCAGAGCCATCCTTCAAAGAACGTTTTTGGCACTTCTGTGTTGGGTTCTGTGTGTTGGCTTCATTTTTCAGCCCTGGAGGATGCCACTTGTGTTCAACCCCCATACAACACAAAATTACTTCCTATCAGTAGTGCACTTGCCTGTGCTGGAATGTGTGCGTACAGGAAAAGTTTTTCTGAGAGAAAGTGCCAAATCTTACCTCCATATCCTCTTTCACCTGCTCCTGCTGGTCACGAAGCTCCCCAAAGGCATCAATTATCAAGCCTGAAAAAAAAGGGACACAATTGTGTGTCTGTGTATCTGTTTGTGTACATGTATGTATGTGCACGCCTGTCTCTGAACGACAGGTGTCAGTGAAACTTAAGGACTCGGTGGAATAAACAGATACTTTGTTCTTTCTCGAATTCCTCATGAAAAATTCATAAAGTGTGCTCTAGTCAAACAAGAGGAATAAAATGTATTTGTGTGTGTCTCAGTGAAAAACATGTGGAATACATGTTGATGCTGAGCTGTATTTGTTAAACAGATTCAGTGTTTGTGGCTCACCCTGGATGATGGCCAGGAGGATAACGATGACGAAGAAGAAGAATGTAATGTCGAAGACGATGCGCTCCACCTCAAACTCATCTCCAGCAGGGTCCTCGATCTCATCACCAATGCCCCCGCCTGCACGCACTCCAACATACATGTGGAACATGTAGCACTGACAGAAAATACATTTTATATTACTGTATAGTATGTGCAGCTGTTCTCTTTCTGACAAGGGTATGCAGTAAGGGGGGGAAATGTAAAGTATCTTAAAAATGGACTAGAGTATTGTTTTTTTAAACTCCAAGGACGACACTGTAAGTTGAAAATTCAAGCTGCAAAACAAAATCAAAATTTATTCAATTCATTTTCATGCCCGTTTCCATGCTAGTTGCTTCTGGGGAGCCATTTGAAAGTTTCCAACAGGCAGCATTTTTACACAATTTCACAGAACAGTGGAAGTTTTATTTTAATCAATATTCTGCCTCAGACAGTATTTCCCCAAGAGGAGCTTGTGTACAATTATGAGGCAAGAATTAACATTCTAGTTGTCTAGCAAAGACTGTACTGTGCTTTTAACTGCCAAGGATATTTTCCACAAGTAACCTGAACAAAAATAGCATAGAAATTGACTGCTAAACCTTCAAGGAATATCCAGACTTTGAAACTGGCACTTTTTTCCTCCATACAGGCCCAAATAGAGATGTCTCCTGCTTGTCTTTGGATTCACATTTTTGCCATTTTTCCATTTTATTTGTATAAAAAATGTGGTGGTGTTTAAATGTTGGAAAAGGGATTGCAATCACTGCTGCTAAAAGTCCAACATAAACAATAACACAGCGAGTGTGACTGAGGATTTAATGTAATATCCCCTGCCTCCTATAATAGCAGGGTTTTATTCAAATGCTATCACTGCCAATCCGCCTGCATATGTGAGTGACAGTGGAGTTCACATTAGAATAGAGCAGGCGGTGGGGTGTTAATGTTGTGAATAGCCAAACAAAAAGCTATGCTGAGGCTTGAGGGACTGTTTTCTATCCATGTGTCCATCATTTTATGGAAAACTAAGACAAGAGGCTGTTCTTACTTTAACAATTGGGATCACTGTCAGAATCCTCCTCTACCGCTCTCAATCTGTGGCAGCAGAAAACCAAGTGTGCAGCTGTGTTTGTGTTAGAAATATAAACACAGAGAGACAGAACAGATATATATATATATGGAGAGACACAGACCTCTAAGTGTGTGTCCTTGTGTTCATATGCACATTTAACTCACAGTAAGCATGTCATTGCACTTCATGTCCTGGGCGTCCTTGTCTTCGCTCTTGTCGTAAAACTTCCTGAAGAAGTTGAAGGCCACAACAGTGTAGAGATAGACCACAACCGCCAACAGGCCCACAGTGAGGACCAACTGACAGGCACACACATAATTACAAAGGGATAGACAGAGGCAGATGGGCTTTAATACGCTTCTTCATCTTAGAAAAGCCCCCAATATAACCCTACAGCGTGAAAGCAAACATCACATGCATGCACACTGCACATATGAGCACACATTAAGACAGATGGATAGAGAATTAAAGACAGACTGACTGACACACACACACACACACACACACACACCTGTTTTCCATTATGTGTGACTGAGGAAAGGATGGTGCGAAGGGTCTTAAAGCCCATGGCGATGTCCAAAAGGTGGGCAGCAAAGAAGAAATTGTTGTAATGACCCAGAACCGACATGGCCATGTACCAGGCCAAGTACAAGAAGGACTGCGCGCACACCAAAGACGACATACACGCACATAAAAACAGGCAATATAGATGACCAGGACAAATGAGAGAGAGACAAATGTGTATTTTAGATAAGGCAGAATCACAGGATATTACCACCGTCACTTATGCAGCATGTGCAATTGTATCAAACAAAAATCTTAGCGCAGCAGAGCAAGAGATTAAACAAATGAGGGATAAGTCATAAAATATCAGATATGTTTTATGCACACTGCTCAGTAATTATCAGTTAACATAAATTGCAGGAAGTGACACCTTTATCTTGGCTATGTAGGAACAAGAGGGCACACACAAACACACTGTGCAGAAGCCACGAAATAGTACACACGAATGAACTCACATTATCAGTGAACACAACTCCTAGTTTCCAGACCTGGTACTTCATGTCAATGGAGTTGAATCTGAAATAAATAGCATCATCACACAGATACATGGTGAGAACCTGGAAAAATAAGGCCAAGATGTCCACGGCTAAAATCAGGCCCATGTTGCTACAGTGTCTTTTCTCAAAGAGCCCGTCTGTCACGTGGCTTCATTTCAGAATGTCCTGTTCCTCCTCAAGTACAACATAATGTTCTAGGACCTTCTTTTGTCCGGCCACCCCTATTAGGTAACACACACATACTCAAATACACATACACAGTATTAGTGAGATGGCTATTTATAATGGTGAAGGCTATTAATATTAATAGCAGCATCTAAAATGTTATTTTAAGATGTAACTCACAAGGTCAAGACAAGAACTGGGTATGCAGTAAACAGAGTGGTTGTGTTCATCATGAGTCCCATTCACCTCTACAGTAAAGTGCATCAGATAAAGAGCTGTATTGATTTCCTTATTTGAATGTTTTTCCATTAATATTAACACCAAGTTGCCTGTATGCAAACATACTTGAAGTTATCCTCCAAAGGATGCCACATTGGTATCATCATCGCAGGCTGCTAGGTGTTAACAAGTGCATACTATATTACCCGTCGAAGGCCAGAGTTATTTATTATTTATAACGATACTATATATATGCTATACTGAAATAAAAAAACAATAATTTGAAAATCTTGCCTTTTGACGTGTCATGCACAAAAACAACAACAAAGATTTAAAATCCTATCCTATACAACAATCCATTATATCTTTGAGAAAATGACCTGCATACAATGCTAAATAAATGACAGAATAGATGGCTGCAGTTTCCCACAGATCGCTTAAAGAATGCAAGATGGCAAGGACTTTCTTTTTTTTACTACTCACAGAGCACTCCAGGTAGTGTCTCTCTTGAGCCTCCTCTCTTCTTTTCTCTCAGAGCTGAAGTCTAATGCAGCTTGGTCCAGACCGAGGAGTTCGCTAATCTTCTCACTGCCGTAAAAGTCACCATACTTATCCATCACCTGACAGGGCAAGATTTACATAAAACAATAGTCTCTCAGGTGCCTCTTCATCTGAATAAAGAATGACAGGAGGTAGCAAGAGGTAAGAGATTGAATTCTCCTGCATGTAATGAGATGGCAGCTTAGTTCTGCTACAAGATGATGGTGATGCTTATGATGGCTACTGAACATAAAGAGATAGATACTTGTGACCTGATACAAGTTTTTCAATTCAATTTGATTCTATATAAAATGCCCAATATTATTAGCCTCAGAGGGCTTTACAGCATATGACATCCCCCTGTTCTTGGACCCTCACAGCGATAAGGAAAAACTCCCCAAAAAACCCTTTAACAGGAAAAACAGTGGTTAAAAACCTCAGGAAGAGCAACTGAGGAAGGATCCCTCTTCCAGGACTGACAGACATGCAATAGATATGTGTTACGACCAGGTAAACATACAAATGAACAGTGATCCATATGACAAAATGATACATGAAGAGATGAAGAGACAGACAGAGAGTGAGATTTTAGGAGCAAAGTGGTTGTGCGCCCCACAGTGGCATGTTGGTTGTGTAGATGGTCTGGTCTGTTTTTATTGGATGCAATCTGACAGTATATAAATAATTAGTAATGACATGGGCTTATGTTTTTTACCTTCCATCTAAACTATTGTATGTATATGTGCAGTGAACCTTGGCTGGCGACTGCAGAGTTTCTCCTTATCATTATGCTGCTGTGGCTCTGAGACATTCTCTGTCACTTGATTTATTGTCTTAAAACAAGAGCCAACCACAGTCTAGTTTTATTATGGAGCCATTTTCTTATTACAAACATAAGCAATCAAAGTATGATGAGCAATATCTACAACCTCAAAACTCAAAAGTGGATTAGCAAAGCACTTGAGGGCTTTATACCATCTATTTTACTGCAGGCTTGTAAAATGATGTAATACAGATTATTAAATGCATTGTGGCACTGCTAAACATACCTAATATAGAGTGGCCATCCCAGCATGGTAGTGCAGTAGTGGCCTTGCAGAAGTGCCTTAAGATACAGTGCCATTAATGCCCAAGACCTCAAGAAAAGCTCCAGGCTTTAAAGCCAATTTGAGATAGCAACCAAACTGTGGAATTACAATGTCCAGTTAGTTTGAAACCCGTAAAACAGTGTCCTTTTTAAGGACCAGCGGCCAGCCTTTACTGTCAGTTTTCTTAAAGATATTTGTGGCAGTAAAAACAAATTTTACTTAAAAATATATTTTGGCTGAAAGACAGGCATATTTCAAAGCATGTTTGTTTGATTGGCAGGAATCTCAGCCTATCACAATCAGCTGTGGTGGTTTCCACCTCCTTGTCCTACTTGAGCCCCATCTACCCTTGGACCAAATTTGCAACATCCAAGAAAATCTCATTCCAGCTTAGTAAAATGAAGGTTTCAAAACAGCCCCTTAGAAGCCAGAGTGCCATCACTACCTCCATGTTTCTTTACAGTCAGTGAAACAGACAGTAGCACTCTATTCTCTGATCATTATACATGAAGTTTGGAACAAGATGCAACAGAAAGTGCTATAACATCATTTGGGTAGTAGAGATACATTTGGCAGCCATTTCAAGACTTTGTGATTTTAATGACTGGCTCTCCTGATTTAATGCATCAGAACTAGTAAAACCAGATAGAGTTTTCTAGTTCAGTTCAACAGACCTACTTCTTTTATTTTCTCTTAAATTCTGCTGAAAAGTCAACTGAATGTTCTCATAAAAGGAAAAGAAGACCAAAAAGGAGTTTCTTAAACTAAAAGCAAAGAATAATTTCTTTTCATCACAGCAGAGCTAATCCAAATGAGGAAGCTAAAAGTGCCTCACTGTCTCCGGAGACAATAAAACTGTTTTGTAACTGACAGGGGAATAATTACACCTGCCATTAAATGGCTCATTAAATCTCAGTTAGTTTCTTAATGAAGTGTCACTGAGTGAAATATGCACACAATCACATACATCCATAAGCACATTTAGAATAGAACGTTTAATATTTTTACAGTGCAAAATCAAAGAAGAGCTTACCTTCCTCTTCACAAATTTATCCCAGTAATTACTTGGAAATGATCTGAGAAGACAAAGACAATGATCAAATATTTAGAAAGGAAAAAAACGTAATTAAAAACAGACAACAGAAACATCACTGTGAGTGAAACATTTCTGCACTGTACAACTATAAAAAAGCTGCCAACAGCAAGATTCTCAAACTATTACCACTAGAATAAAACATGTTTGATATTAATTTAACATCAGCCAGCTGATTATGTGGCAACGAACATACGGTGTGTTAATGACCAGTCGGTCCCACTGCCCTTTGATGTCCTCCTCAGGGGGCTGCTCTGTCACATACAGCCCGTCAAACTCCAGCCTTCGCGCCACTTCCTTTTCACGTTTGAATATCACCAGTGGTACCTGCCAGTCAAGCACTACAGTGATCTCTTAACTCTTTAAATGTCCAGTGCACAGCTGGCAGAACTTCACATCTCTGACATTCTGATTAGCTGTATGGGTCAAAACCTAACAATGTGCTTCGTTGTCAATCTGTCCGTGGTTTAACACTACACTCTTGGGCTTTTATGATGGAGAGAAACTGATTCAAGAAAGTGAAATGAGTTCATTAAAAATCTATAAAAGTACGCGCTCATGCTGGTATACCTTGAGACAGTAGTATCCGATAATACAACAGAAGGATATGATTGTGTGAGCCACGGCCAGGAAACGGAGTGACGGCTCCATGTATCCACTACTCTCCTCCAGCACAAAATAATCTCTGTCCTCATCGTCGGCAGCTGAGTCCAGTTCCTCACTGATAACAGATGTGACCGCTTCCTTCTCTTCTTGAGATTCAGGCAAGGATGCTACCTGGAAAGACAATAAGAGACCAAAAGAGAGAGTGACCTCACCAAAGACATACAAGCACAAAATACGAGAAACACACAATATAAGGCAGTACAATGTGACAGCATCAAACTCAAGGAGACCACAGAGTTAGACTGACTCCTCTTGGTCACAGTCTTTGGCGAATTGCTATACAGGCTCTGGTGAAAACACTCTGTTACAGACATGTCTTGCATTCTGAATTTTACTTGGATGAAAGAACAAAAGTATAAGTAGAAAAATGTACTTCAAATATTAAAACTTAAACAGTCTAATATGCAAATAAATGGCTGATGGATACATCACAATATCAGACTATTACTACTGATGCATTCTTGTATACATTGTTTAGATTGGTCCATGTGCCGCAAATGTTGATTGCTGTGTAGTTTAAAACACAAATTTTATGTGACAATCACATTTTTTGTAATTAAAATATACTCTCTAGAACAGCAGTTCCCATCTGATCCAGACACAGGGACCACATTTGTCTTAAGTGATAAGTTCAAGGTCCATGCAGTTAATATATATTCACCGTCTTGTGTTTGTCCATGTTGTGTAGCTAATTTGTGGTCTCAAGAAATGGCACTTCAAAATAAAAGCTCTCTGCCAGAAATTCCCTATACTTTAAAATAAAATGTAATTATTAACAAACTTGTCATGTTCGCGAGTCACTTGCAATCCATTCAGAATAGACTTATGACCGACTTTTGGATCGCGAACTGCCAGTTGGGAACCACTGCTCTAGAGATACTTGTAACTATTGCTGTCCAATAAATGCACTGAAATAAAAAGGAAACTATTTCCCTCTGAAATGTGATGTAGTCTAAGTAAAAAGAAGCATGAAATAGTGATATTGAAGTATACTTTGTAGTACTAAGTAATACTTAAGTAAACTTGTACTTAAGTACAGTGTAAGTACAAATAATTTAGTAAATGTACTCAATTACTTTCCAATGTTAACACCCCTGCATATTTAATACTACAGCAAAATGTAATGCATTTGAATTTTACTCACCTTGTAGAAGAGGAGGATAAAGTTGATTGCAAAAGCTACAAACAGAGCCAGTAAGCGCATATTATAAAAATTCCTTGCAAAGTAATTCTGTGGAAAAAAGGAGAAAAAAACATTTAGGTATTTTATGCCTGTACAAGTTTATGCCTGTGTATGCAAACTGAAGTACTTGTTAGTATGCCTCTTTATCTCTGTTGGTTTGTATATGCATAAGTGCACAAGCATGTGTGAGTGTTTTTGTATATTACCAGCAGGCTCTTGTTGTGAGTGCTTATCATCTCCCAGAGGGCAGAGTGTTGGCTCTCTGGTTCCTCTGACTTATTAGAGCATCTCTTGGCTCTCTGTTCTGCTTCTGCTTTCTCCTTCCTGGTTTTCTCCTCAAATTCCCTCCCTCTGCAAACAGTTCAGTCACAAACAGAGGAAGGGTCAAAGGTCTGAGATGATGAAATCCAACTTTTACTTTTTAATAACTTCATATTTCTTTTGATGACATCAACATGACAGTGCTTAATTTGGCAAGTTTGAGTTTTTATAAGTTTCAGACCTACAATGCACTGTCACAGCTACCAAGTGCATTGTAATGTAATGCAATGCCACTGTTAATTACTTTCGTACTTTAAAGGATTAATTCATCCCAAAATCAAAATACGTATTTTTCCTGGAGTATTGGAGATATCGGCCACAGAATTGTCTGTCTGCTCTCCAATATAATAGAACTAGACGGCACTCAGCTTCTCAGCAGTTTCATGTAGGAACTACTCTCTTTCTACCAAACTACACCCACCAACCGTACCACCTGGCAAAAGAAACCGTACATCTACTCGTGGACAAGAGGCTCGTGCTCGTGACAGATAAGATGAAACACATTAATGGCGTCCCCCCTCAGCTGTGCTGTAATGTTAGCTAGCTCAGTGGTGCTAGGTAAGCTAACAGTAGATGCACGCTTCCTTCTGCGAGGTGATACAATTGGCAAGTGTTGTTTGGTGGGTAGAAAATAGTTCCTACATGAACCTGTTCACAACAAGGTCTGTGGATTATTTTGAGTAATCAGGTTATGATTTCTGGAAAGAGACGTTTTTTAGATGTATTTTTTTAGTGCTTTGAGCACCCCAAACTGAGTGCCATCTAGTTCCATTATATCTAAGAGAAGACAGCCATCTCCACAGCTGATATCGCCAACACTCGGCAACTCACAACAAAATAACCTAGACTGGTAAACAGCATTACAGGTAAGAGGAAAAATATGTATTTTTGATTTTCGGGTGAACTGTTCTAATTGCAGTCAGCAATTCTAATGACTTGGGATGTTATGAGAACATTTAATGATTCCTCTTTCATGATTTAATGGGGAAGCAAAAGACTCACTTTGCATTCTCCACTTCAGGCACTGTCTCATCTTCTGTTTTTCCCTCTGTGACTGTGTGGGCCTTACGTTGCTGTCAGTGAAATTCATGAGGAAATCAAAAATTAATATAAATCAGCATCAAAGCAATATAAAATTTAAGAAAATATGCTGAACAAAATTTGTGAGTATCACAACACATTGAGAGTCTTGTATCGTCTCATATTCAAATAAATTAAAATGAATTCATACCGTCCCCTGACGCTTTTCAGAAAAATCAGCAGTGGCACTTGTTTTGGACGTCGTGTTGAACAGGTCAGTCAGACTGGCAGTTAGGTCTTGTGGTATAAGTCTGTATTGACCTCCATCCTTCTTCACTTTAAGACCAAATATGTCTGACAGTACATCCACCTCCCTGGGGGAGGTCACAGCTGCCACATGGCCCATCTCCCTCAATTCTCTCTGAGAAGAGAAACTGGCTGAGTACTTCCTCAGCCTATCCACACCACTTTGCACCTCCATGACCTCATCAAGAGTTGGCTCGAGAATACCACCGAGCAAATCCGACATCCTCATCCTCTTGGCTCCCTCTATGAGCCCACCACTGACAAAGGCTATGTAGAGGACATATAAGATGCTGCGAATAACAACACAAATACACCGGACCTGAGCCATAAAAATGAATCTGAGGAAGAACACAGCTGCCATGAGGATATCCTTCACGGTCATCTTCATCAATGTCTTCAGGTTTTTGACAGAAAGCAGAGATATCAGCAATAACAACCAACGACACATGAAAAACACCCCGCTGTCGTCCTGAGCATCCTCTTCACTCTGTTCCTCTCCTCCTTTGTCAGCACACCTCTCTCCAGTGTCAGAGCCAGATATCTGTGCTGCTAGCTGCATCTCAAAGATGGTGTCCTCACAGAAATTGACAAACATCTCCATTTTCTCCTTTTCTCCACCCTCATTGACCACATCAAAAATGAACTGACGCTTGGACTCTTTAACCTGAGGCTTCTCCCACTGTGTGCGGCTGGATTCACTGATCTCAAAGTAGACGCGTTCAATGCGCTTCCCACTGCCGAGGATCTCAATACGTCCTAGATAGGGTTGGAAGTACGTCAAGACACACTCTGCCAATTCCAAGAATGTCCTAAGTCTCGAATCGTTGGGCATGTGTTCAGACAAATTGGTGAGGAGAACAGCAATGCTGAAGCCGATGTCTTTGGCTGGCTCGTGGAAGCGATCCACAAAGGCCTCATAATCCACAATTTCACTATCGTCTGTCTTCATGCAGGAGAGGAGGAAGTGAATCTCAGCTGAGGAGAAATGCTTGCAGTTCTCCATGGCTTTCTGGAAGTCTTTCCTGGAGATGTAGCCCTTACGATAAGGGTCGTACTCTCTGAAGGCATCTGAGGAGGTGAGGTCTTTAAGTTTGAGAAACATGTCAAAAAACTTGAGGATCATTTCCACATTGCCTGACGATTCCACCAACATATCCACCATCTGCTTTCCAATAGTTCCATTAACAGCAGTGCCTGCAGGGGGGAGGATGAGCAGAGAAATAAATTCTGGATAATGGTGACTTGTCGCCTATTTATGATCATGAATTGTGCAAAAAACAATGAAGTGGAAATCTTGCCTTCTAACATGGAAAGCAAGAAAACAACCATGTCCTTTTGTAAATCCATGAGCTCTTTCAGCAGATCAATTTGCCTTGAATCCTGAATATAAAATATAATACATAACAGCAAAGTCATTTCATATCTTACATTTTACAAATTTACAAGACACATTACCAGAGGCAGTTCACATTGTGCGCAACAACAGATTAACAGTAAGTGGTTTGTATGAACATAAAGACCCTAAAGTGCACTATCAACTAGAGAAGTATTAATCTTATGATTCAGCAGAATTTTGAAGGGAGGTAAGATGATCAAATGTCAGTGGATTAATGTGCTATACCTGAGACAGCTTCATCTGCATGTGGGCAAAGACATGGAGAAATCCCACCACAGCGTCCCACAGACGACTGTGAGCTAGACTCTGTTGGTTCCCAGCACACGGGCCCTGGATTAACAGAACAACAATGTGAGCGGCATAATTTTAAGAAATATATCAACTGTAAGACAATATGATATGATCAGTTGGAGATAAGAAAGAAAATTAAACATTAACTTTTATCATTCAATGCAACGTTCTCCGTTTCTGTGTGTTGAGGTCTAACAGTGAGAGCTTAACCTTGGCTTTTTTTTGGAGTCATAAATCAGTGCCAGTGTCAGGGCCTTATGGAAAATGTCATATGTGGGCTAACATGGGCCACGTTACATAATGCATTTGTTGACACTATGTCACATAGAAGATGTGTGGCATGGCCTTTTTTGGTTAAAGCTTGTTGTATGCTGTTTTGGGAAAAAGGTTAGTGCCTTATGTAAGCTGTAGAGAACCAGTCCAGTGAGACTTAACTATGAATGATTCTGGTGGGAGAGGGACGGACAACTTTGGCTCTGTATTCAGGTATAGTCTCTCCACAATGTAGTGTATACAATATATTGCTTCCTTCAATCCCCTCAAATGCTTTGTAAGTTTATTTCCTGATTGCCAGTGTTGTAGTGAAGACCACCTAAACTGAGACGAAGTTGCGACCGAGACCAGAGTGCTTCAAGACCACGTCCAGTCCAAGACATTGAGTGTTTGAGACAGGGTCATAAACCAAAACTGGTTAGTGATATCCCTCACAGTTGTCATCTTGCAGTCTTGAAATAAAATCCTGAGTCCAAACAAAATTGCAATCAAGTCTGAGACAAGACAGAGACCTTGAAAAAGCAGTCTTAAGGCCAAGACTGATCTTTCTGAGTACTACAACACTTCTGAGTGCTGAGTGTTTGCAGGTAATTTCCACCACAGAGCTCACAGAATTATACATGAAGTACAGTAAGAAGACATTTTAACCTGTGATGGAAACTGACTGACCTGTATGTACTCAGTGAGAGTGTTGAAGACCTGTTTGGCCACTTCTATGGCCTTGGAGAAGTTCTGTTGTCCATGTGCATCAATCACATCCTTCCCTGAGTAGTACCAGTAGAAGTCACTGATTGACTCCTGCAGTGTAGCACAAAGAGATATTTGTGGCTCGTAAGCTTAAATAAACCACGTTTGAAGTCAAAATATTATTGTGATAGATCAAAGATTAAAACTTTACCTGCACTCTCAGTAAATAGTCCACAGTGGTTATTATGATGTTGACGGTGGTGTTGTTGCCTGTTTGTGTTCTCAAGTAATTCTGGAAATCTAACACATAAAGGAAGTTGGAACATCAAAATGAATTTAACCATGTGTAGACAATGTAATTAGACAATGGATGTCAACTGGAGCAAGTTTTTTTTATTACCGTAATTTTAAGGTGACATTAAGGTGTTACAGTTTGTGGTCCTTTTTCCAAAGACAACAGTATAATCTATGTGAACTTTGTGACAGTGTGCGAGTGGATACAGGCAATAGGGCAAATAACCTGAGTTGTGTCCTTCACAGAGCAGCTGCAGAAAACGGAACAGGTCACATGTTATGTCTTTGTCAGGCATCACCTTCTCTCCTGGGAAAAGATAGGGTAAGAAATCAAAAGCGTAAGGGGCAAGGCATGGAGTTATACTGTAGGAAAGGTGCGGCACAGTGAATGAGAAAACGTACAGAGAATTTAAAAGAGACACCATGGAGGGAGACAGCTGTAGAAAATATGTGAGACTGAGCAAGGCAAAGAAAGAAATAGGATTTTGAAGTGAGAATTTAGAGTATGTTCAAGGCCAGGCAATCTCACAGCTGGCTCTTCTACTAAGACATGGCTCCACAGAAACTGATTCTTTTTTTATTTCCACTTGAATACAGTACCTGAGCTCTCGTCCATGGCCATGCCTAATCCTTCTGCTTTGTTCTGCCTCTCAAATGCGTTCAGATCCAGAACACTGGATAGAAGAAAACCACACACACACACACACACACACACACAAAAGGATGAAAAAATCTTTTGCACTCCTATTTAGAATGAAGGCCTCTGTCACATTTGACAGGACTTGACAGAGATGGTTCCTACACTCACTTACCTACATGACCGCATGAGTCCAGCCATGCTCTGAAAGAAACCAACGTCTTGCTTCTCTCTCAGATAATCCAGCATTTTCTATCAGACAAACGCATCACAGAAAAGAGCTGATAGATGGACAAGGATCTCACCTGAAGCACATAAGGTTAACTTAAAAATGTATTTTTATTACTGCAAGCTTTGCTACAATGTCTCTGCATCAAGGCATCATGTTTATAAGAAGACAGAATTTGAGAGTAATATGTTCTGAATAGGGACACAAGAGATACAGAGAGATTTTATAATGGGTGTCTGTGGGACAGCAAGAGTGCATAGAGGAGCTGCAAAAAAATATTTTTTAAAATTTCTGAACAAGTTGCTCTCACTGCCCCGATTTTCAACATACACAATCTATACATCAAAATGTGGGAAAACTTGCGCTGGTCGCAGACATGTTACTATGGAATCAAACACACTTACACAATTGGCTCAGTGAGCCTTCAAGCAAAGACAGAGCCATTTTTTTCTCATCAACTTCTATAAAAACTGAGATGAGAAATTTCTGGAAGACAGCGTATGGTAACAGTTTTCTAACCTGCTCACTTTCTCACAATTTTGACACCACAAACAATGACATCTATGTTTTATGATATTACCATGTCAGCCCAAGAGGATGCGAGAGACTTGTGAACATGCAAACCTATTTCAGGGATCTCAGAAAACAAGGTGAACGACTTGAGAGGCAAATACTGATGCAATATTGTACCTGTTGCACAGTGGCATTCCCTCCATTGAGAACAGCAATACCCAGCTTCAATGTAGGGGCAATCATGGAGCCCATGGCGCCTGATGGGATGTGAAATATACCACAGTCAGAGGATGTACAGTACCGACTCATGAATAATAGCCTGCTACAGATCATGATTTACATTTTAGGAAAGGGCAAAGCACATAGAAATGCTTTACTGTATTTTAACTGCTGAATCCAGGAGGCAGATGTAAAGTATTTCGCTTACACCTTACTATAAGAGAATGCCCCTCGACTAAGGAACAGATATACCATAATATAAGTCATTTCTGAGAATTACTATAAAAAGTAATTGCTCAGTATTTAACATTCCCTACCTTTGCTGGCACTGATGGTTTGCAGGACCATCTCAGAAGCTCCACGACGATGCAGCCTGGCCTGTTGGTACAGCAACTTCTGTTTCTCCATCTCTTTTTCCTGAGCCACACAACAGTCAATTCACAACAGTATCTCCACTACATTTATTTTTACACTAACACTTTTTAAAATACAAATGCATATTATGAAATGCTCACAGTGGAATATAATTCATTTAAAAATATATTATTAATGCAACAGAAAAAAGAAAATTAAAAAAAATTAAACCAATTACAATCAAACACTGTTGACAAGAAACACTTGACATTTGTTTTAAAAGTAAGTGCCCATTCTCTCACTTCAAAGCTTTCCACTTCTTGTTCTTCATCCTCCTCCTCCTTTCTGTGGCAGCTCTGGGAGAGCACATGTACAATGCAGGGCGGTAGAAAAACAGGAATAGCAAATAAATCAATATACAAGAGGTACAAATGAACTAACACTTGAGCTACTTGTCATATATTGCATGTGACATGCACAAAGACAAACATCAAATGGCATCAGTTACCATGTTCTTTTACCTTGGCCATTATAGTAGCGTAGGACTTATAGAGACTGTCATTTCCAAGCTTACTGTGAACAGGGAGAATAAATAAAATAATATTAAAGTATATTAAGGCATTGACAGATGCAGCATTCTAAAAATGGCTGGTTAGAGACACTGTCCAAGGCAATCTGTAGCTGCTCTATATATATAACTATAGACTGCATGGAAAAAAAGTGGATGTAGTCACTGTGGACATTCTGAAGCCTTGAGTTCGGCATTTTGGACATCAACATCTTGTTTTTTGGAGCCAGAAGTGACCATATTTGGAAGAGAGGGTGAAGCTGGGCAGGAGCAAGGGGTGGATCTGACTGAGAACACTGCCGTGGTAGCGACTTGTCAGTCACAAGGTGGCCACGCCCTACAGCATACCCTGCTTTAATGACCATAATTTACAAGAAGCACATTATGCTGTCTTGAAGAAGATTTGAAACTAGTGATTGAGACCATTAAATCATAGGAAAAATGTTTACTGAGGTTAAAATCGAGTGAGAAGTGGGGTCATTTTCTCATAGACTTCTATAAAATCCGACTTCTTTTTCCAACTAGTGGAGTCGCCCCCTGCTGGCCATTAGAAATAATCAAGGTTTCCACGCCTTATTAAACATCAAATTCAAGAACTTTCAAGGACTTCTACAGCCCAATTCCTTAAAATTCAAGGACCCAACACAGCATTTACTCCAACCACTCATGCTCGCACGTGACTGCGGCAGCTGTGGCTCATAAGGTAGAGCAAGTCATCCACTTATCGGAAGATCAGCGGTTCAATCGCTGGCTCCTCCAGTCTGCATGTCAAAGTATCCTTGAGCAAGATACTGAACCCCAAATTGTTCCCAATGGCTGTTTCATCATCAACTGAGTAGCAGGCTATTACTTTTAATGGCCGCTGTCTAATTATGTCTGTTTTCAAAAACTTCCAATGGCTTGATTTTTTTCCTCATATTCACAAACTTTCAAAGATTTTAAGGGCTTGAACGAAGCCTGAAGAATGCAGTTTTAAGACACTTTGGCAGTGACTTCACTTTTCATACCCGAAGGCTACGTCCACTTCTTTTATAGTCTAAGACTTAAATGTAATCCCCTTGATTACACAGTTGAATGCAGCACCACATTGAAATGCCCCTTAGCAGTGTGTGGATCTAGAGTGCAACCATTTTATTCACAAGTCTACCCAGTAGTATTGCGCATTTTTATTGACCACACCAGTAGACCTGGAACTGGGCTGATTTGATCACATCTCTGCAGAGTGCCCTCCCACCCCTAATGTCTTTACAGTGACGTGGAGAGAAACTGTTAATTTAATATTACGCTCTCAGACAGCATGTGAGACTCTGCAGGAACATCATGAGAATATAACAGCCATACCACAGTGGGATTGGTGGACCAAATCATGCATGACTGAAGAGAACACAACAGAGCAAACATTTCTGCAGGCTGACCATAAAAACATTTGAAACAGTGAATATTTCAGGCTTTCAGGGAACAATGGCCACGCATGTTGGACAGAAAAAAAATCACCCTTCTGAACAATCTAATATCTTTACTGCATGTGATCTTTCAGAATGAACACACACACACACACACACACACACACACCTCCTTTCCGTCAGGGCGCTTCGACTGAAGAGTGTAATGAGTTGTAGGAGAGGATCGATTGGTTTGGCACCTTCCTCCATATCCTTTTCTCCCTCTCTTTCACATCCACACAGCTCCATCACTCCTCCCCTCTGCAGTCACAGAGAGAATAAAGCCACTAGTGTGTGCTGTTAAATAATGTCCCTCCACAACCGCTGGTGGCTGACTTACATTTACACCCTGCGGGTTAGCTCTGCTGCAAACACACGCTATACAGTATACACAAACATACATAACATGATCATGTTTATGAGGACAAAGAAGACAAAACTATCTCTATCTGGAACTTCTGCTGAAAATGCACATGCTCAAAAGGCCTTGATGTTTTTTTCAGTAAATTAAATGTTCATACTGTTAATAGCACAATAAGACAATAATGCATGCAAAATATTACATCACAACTTTCAACTTCACCACAGTTAAAGATTTAACGGACTTAAGGGACTGTGTCAAGGAGTGTGCCCAACAGGCAGCACTTACTCCAAGTTGTAACAGCTCCATCATTCTGTCAACCCTGTCCAAGTTCTTTGCAACAGTACTGTGTGTACTGCCAGGGTTTGATAATGTTGTGTGTTTACAATGAAAAACACAACAAAACTAGAAAAATACAACCAGTAGATTGCAGATCTCTGCCAGGTGTGTCTGGGGGCATGTGGGTGGGAGACATGGAGTTCAGGGAAGGTCATGTTATCAAGGTGTATTCTGCAGATGCTCATCTTTTTTTTTTTTTTTTTTTTTAAAAAGAGAACAAACTTTTCTAAGAATGTCGGTTTCTGAGACAAAACAAAGGCCAAAATGTGGCCTCCAACAGACTAAGTAAGGCTTGTTTTTTTTAGCCTGTCCAATTGACAGCTATGCCTTTTGCTATGTGATTGTGTTAATTGCTTATAGCCCCCACAGTCCAGTTAAGAGGAGTGAGGAATCAGATGTCTGCAATGGTATAAAACAGTAAAAAAAAAACAGTTTTTTTAAAAAAACTGTGAATCATGACAATCATAAGAGATCTTTCATTATACAGTCATAAATGTGCACAAAATATATTATGCTGATGGGTCCAGTAGTATGCGACACAGACACGTGCACACACAATCACCTCCAGACTTATGCTTGCCAGAGATAATGACGCTGATCAAATGCACATTCAGTTTGCTTGGGAGTTATGTTGACTAAATTGAGCATGGTGCTGAGATGATATTATGAAAAGATCAAAAGGATTATATCTTTGGAAAATACAGATATGGTTTGACTGATAACTGACTGAGAGTATCACTTCCCAGTACAAAATGGTGAAACATGTCAATTTCTTCTGTGTAAAACAGCATATTGCGGTATTAGTGTATAGTGTGAATTTGGTGCAGCAAAGCAAGCGAGATATGTATGTGGCCTACAAGATGTGCTGCCTGAAAAGCTCAACCAAGGGTTTTAAAATGCCCTTGTAGGTCATCAACTGAACTACAGAATCAGCTTGAGACAGGTTGACATTTTAAGAAAGTTGCCTGGGTGCAAACTGCCAAAAAAACAAACAAACACATGGGCTATGTTTGAGGTACAGTCATGTTCATGATTAGAAAATCTTGGTTGAAAATGGAAAAATGCCAATTTGTGTTTCTCACCTGGTCATAAAACTCTGGCCTGTTTTCACTTTTGTATTTTACAGAATTATTTCAAACTACTGATGTCACTAAGGCTCGCTTTTCCACTCACAGCCAAATCCTCCACGAGCTTCTCCTCAAAGCTGTTGTCCTCAGCTGATACCCACAGTTTATTGTAGCCTTGGATGAACAGGTTGACAGCTCTGTGCCTGGGGAAGAAGAGGGTAGGGCAGAGAGACAACATGAGATTCTTCATTTGCATAGACAAATGCAAATAAGAGGTTGAAAAACAGGCTGCATTGAGGGACGCTATTAAACCATAAAAGAGCTCTGATTAGACTCTTTATTAATCAAGGCCTCTTATACTTATTCTAGGTTACGGCCACTCGAGAGTAATGACTATAATTTGTGAGAAACAAACATCAAATAACTATTCCTATAGTGCATACAAACTGAACAAAGCCTCCGGGTTTAATATGCGAATGCTAATGTAATCACATGTTTATACCTGGGTAAGTTGTAAAGGGGAGCCATCCTCAGGCAGGCCACCACTGCTCGTTTCCTCTGTTTGGACAACACCTTGTGCCACGCAGGTTTTTTACTTTTCTGTGGGTGTTCCACCTGAACCCAAAAGCAAAGATAAATAAAGATGTGACACAGATAATGTAACAATGTAGTGCACATGACCTCAAATGACCCCAAGGAGAGCTGCAGAGATCCATCTTCATGCTTTTGTTTTACATTTATTGTACATATGCACTGCAGGCATGACTATCCAAAATAAATCAGTGTGTGGAGTAGGAACACACCCATGTTTCTTATCCCCTTAGCTACCAGGCCTTGTAATATCAAACAGCTGAAAAGGAGGCAAATCCTCACTTGTCAATGAACAACAGCTCTAAAAAATGACCAACTAATCATGTTGGCAGAAACAAAATAAGTCTGCAACGTTCAGCAAACAAACACATTGCTCTACCCATAGACTAATGATGACAGAGAGGGGTCACGAGTCCCTTTACTTGCAGAGGACAATAGAAGAACTACGACTCAGCATCTTCTTCAGGGATTTTTATAGAATGAATAAATGTACAGCCTATTTATACACCACAAAATGGCTGAGACTTTATCAGTGGCCCTGTGAGGACAAGGCATATAGATGGCTCTAAGGACATCTAGACCTCATACAGTTGGTAAAAAAGGTCACATAAGTACCTTAAACTGTACTCAAAATCACCTAAACTGTTAAAATAGCTCTAAAAATAAGGAAAGCAACTACAAAATAAACTATAAAACCTTTCATTCTCTCAAACTATCATTTATCTTCACAGGATGCCAGCTTCTGACATTTCAAATCAGAGGAAAGCTCTTTCAGTTTCCCTAAGAAATCTTTCTCTCTGTCCCAGACCTTTTTCACAGCAGCCATTTTGAGCAGTCACTGTAGGAGAACAGGTGTTACTGATAATATTAACGATGGCTCCGTTCTGTCCCAGCAAGGGCTCATTATGCTCAACATTAGATACGGAGACTGACGGAGCCATCTGTCCAAACTCTGCATTCACTTCATTCTGTATTTGTGCACGTTTTCTGAAAGGTCACGGATGTGGACAAAACTGAGCAATACCACCGGGGGCAGTGAAGCGTAGTTCAAGAGAAATACAACCATAGGAGACATTAAAGAAGTTTTAATAATGTTGGAAAGATATCTCTGATTAAAGGCCGCACAGATCACCACCACCTACAATGCTGCCTTTGTTTAAAGGTACAAATTACCATGTCCTCCGACATCGCTTCATCTGTTGCTGTGTGAAACTTGACTCTGCCCTCACACGCCACATGTTGGCTGTATCAAGGCCATCATAAAGGATGCATGGAAGTGTGAGGGCAGTGATGTTAACAATGTTTGAAACACATGTATCTATTTTTGTATGTGAAGGGAGTGTAAATGTGCCTTAAGCCATGACAGTGTGACATTGAGCCAGCATGCACAATACAAGGACCCTGAAACTGAAGCAGCTAAATGGAATTGAAATGGACATCATTAATTCTATTATTTGTACTTGTGCTTTTTCTACTGTGACATTTCAACTTGTCTTAAAAAGGCCTACAAAGGAGAGGTCCATCAGTGAAACAGCAAAAAAGCCAACAGTTGGCTGGTGAAGTACAACTAGCCACATTTTCAGCAGCTTTGATTAAAAAAAAAAAAATCACAATTTATCACTCATTATGTTTTTATAAGGTTTTAAAAGCTCACCTGGTCCAGGTAATAAAGGACTCGAGCTATTTCAAGAATCCTGTCTGCAGTACTTTGGGCATCAGTGATGGCAACCTGCTGGCTCGGGTGTTCTGCATAAAGGGTCTCCTGCCTCAAACAGCTTGACGCCTGTAAAGCGAAAAAAGAATTTATTTCTTTCATCTCCTGTCTTTCTTCTGTATTTCAATCATGCAATTATAGATATTTTTAGAAAGACTGCTGGAGAGGTCTTGAATTCAGGGAAAAAAGGCTACGGCAATGAGAAAAAATAATTCAGAGCGAGAACCTTTAACAGGGCTGAAAGAGTGAATGAAGGAGCTTGGTTTGAAATGGGTTGGCTAATAAACATTATTAAGGAATCAAGTTGCTGTCCTGAAGCTTGCGTTCCCTATCGCCTTTAATTTCCTTGCTTGAATTCTCACATGATCAACAACAAAGCTGCCTATTTCACTGCAAATAATAACTAATGTTCATACAACCAACAAAGGATGGATCATGGGCTGTGAAAAAAAATACCATCAAATGTTTACTTAAAAGTTTGTTTATGCTAATGACAAAGTAGAATTTATGCTTTTTTCCATCGCCGACTTATGAATAAACATTTATCACTGACTCATAAATAAGCAGATACTGCATGCATATTCTGAACAGTATTGTGAGTATGTCACATTGATGTCTCTGGTGAACAATGGGTAACTGAATGAGATTATTAAAAAAAATATATACATATATATATATATATACATATATATATATATATAAAAACAGCTTATGATTTTGCAGGCTATGAGAGCATTCTCCAGTTTAATTTACCACACACTTGCTGCCTTCCTCAAATTAAAAGTCACATGTACTCAGGCATGGCAATGAATATGCAGAACATCTGCAGAATGTGGAAGGTATACACTTCGTTTGTACTCTAAGAATAGTCCAGATGAATGCCCTTTCTTGTTATCTGCACTTCATTTCTGCTCCAACCAATGACAGGCTGCTACAGGGATTCCACTAACCACATGAGACAATTACCTATCATATAGGAGTGTCTTCAGTTTTGTAATATGAGAATGTTGTCTTAGGTTGCTGGGCCCAAAGAGAAAAAAATCCCCGTAATGCAACTGGTATTCATGAATGAAAACACTGAAATATTGTATACATGTTCAGAACACAAAAATAAAATGCAGTGACAGCCTCTACCTTACTCTGAAGATGTATAAGGCAAGTGAAAACATGCTCTCGAATCTCATCTTCAGTTTTCTTCTGTGAAAAGCAAGCAAGCAATGGCAACATTAAATATATATACACCACAGACATATTTTAAAGGTATAGTGTGTGGAATTTAGTGCAGGAGTGTCGAACTCGTTTTAGTTTACAGGCCACATACATTTCAATTTGATTGCAGGTGGGCTGGACTCGTAAAACCATTGCATAATATCCTATAAATAACAAACACCTCCAAATGTTTCCCTTTTTTGTCAAAATAAGTACATATTAAAAATACTAATCTATTTACAAAACAGCCTGTGATGTCTTGAGAGGAATAAATGCAATTTCAACAGTATTTCTCAATTTCCTCCACCTTCAGTCAGACAACAAGTCACTATCATTACATGTGCATTTTAGATTTAGAAAGCTACTCAATGTTTAACTTGTTACTGAAACCTGGCACCTCTTAGCCATCACAAGTGCATCACTATTGGGTATGCAAGGTCATCCCATGGGCCGGATTGGACCCCTTGGCGGGCCAGTTCTGGCCCCCAGGCCGTATGTTTGACAGCCCTGATTTAGTGGCATGTAGACATGAGTTTGCAACACTGCGACCAACTTAAACACCTCCCATGTGCCAAGCATGTAGGAGAACTACATTGGCTGGTGCATTACCACGAATGGCCCTACCTAGAGCCAGTGTTTGGTTTGTCCATTCTGGTCTATTTTGGAAAAACATGGCTGACTCTGTCAAAGAGGACCTACTCCATATGTAGATATAAACGTCTCATTCTGAGGTAACAAAAACACATAAATTCTTGAATTCAAGTCATTTTAAACTGCTGAAAACGTCATCATGACTACTATTTCTGCTAATATATCCCGCTAAATCCGACACACTGGACCTTTAAGACACTCATCTTCATCATGGTCATACCACACCGCAGATTAACAATTAACTACACTCATTACAATGTGATCTACACCTTCAAAGGGTCTGTCACATGAGGACAATATTAATGCTGGTACATGTCCAACTGACCTGAGTGAAGCCGCTCTTAGCTAACATGATAAGGCTGTGGTCGCTTGGAAAACTAAGCCTGAGTCCCATGGGGAGCAGTCTCTTCATGGAAGCCACAATGAGAGAGGTGTGCGTGGAATAACGATCCCCCTTCCTCTTCATTCTCCTCTGCTCATGGCTGAACTGAGTATTTAAAAGCCGTGAAGATAAATTAACTTTGATACTTGACTGAAAGTTGCCAACTTTTTTGTGATTAACATACAACTAGTAGGTGAGCATGAGGTGAATTTATAATTACGTCTGACCTTGGACATTTTGTCATTGTTGACCAAGAAAGCCAGGTTGTTGATTTCATTTTGGACCACATAGTTCTGTTCCTCCCATTTGAAATTCTGCAAGCAAGGATGAAGAAAAATGATTTGTAGGCTACAATATTCACTTGAATAACACTGACATGAGAGGAATAAATAAAAATACTGCGTGTCATCCTCACATGAGATTTGGCCCAAAATATAAAGACCTCTGCCACCATGCTGAACAGCTGCTCAGCGTCAGGGTTCGACTCTTTCAGCCAGCTGGCTCTGAGACAAGACAAACCAAAACACATCACTGAATATCACCGCAGAATTTATTCCTATAAAGCTTAACATATGCCTGAAATAATAACTTTAATAACCACTAAATGACACCCTGACTACTCTCTTTATAATCACAAAAAAATCTGTGTTTTATTCATAGAAATAAAATGAACAAAAAGGACACTGAACTGTTTGCTGTATTCATCTGAGTAGTTCACCAGAAAATTGCTACTGTTATTGGTTGTTATGGTAACAACGTGCACACATCAATGGGGCTGTCAAGTGTGTCAAACTCACTTGATGAGAACTCAATTTTTACCTACTGCTGCTTTTTAAGTGATCGAAGGTATTGACATCTTTGCAGTGAGTAGATGTTTTTGTAATTGGCAATATTGGGGATTACAAGTAATATAGTACATTTGTTTTGCAACTTTTGTTAAAATACTTCCTTATTTTCCTGTTTCTTTTGTAGCCATTAATTGCATATGTGTCAAAACATGATGTAACGTTACTGCAATGCAATGCCCAAGTACTCCGATGAGTTATTTTTCTCTGTAGGTAAAGCTGTAACATATCCACCTCATTTTCAAACACGGAAGTAAATAGTGATCAACTTCCGTTTTTTTGTGCGTGACTTCCGGTCAGCCGCTTTCCGTCATGCTTTCCCTTTCCGGAGCTAACGGTGCAAGCTAATTTTTTTTCAATTTTCAGTTGTTTATGTTATTATGTTAGTCAATCAGTTAGTTAGTTTGTTAGTTAGTCTGTGTATTTTGTATAACGTTAGATAACTGTGCCCACTAACTTCCGTTATAACGGAAATTTATTCCCTCTAAACGCGAATAAATCGCACGTCAATCATAAACTATGAACCAAAAAAGCACAATCTATCCCGAGTGAGACAAACTGCTTGATCCCCGTCTCCAGTGTACCAGCAGACAACCTGCAGAACCGAATCAGCGAAAAAACACACCGGGCTACACAGCCTCTCTACCTGAGCAGCTGAAGCTGCGGCTCGCACCCTCGACACACAGACGGTGCTTCTGCATGCCAGCCAAACGTGTGCGCAACTGTGAGAAATAAATATGTGAGGTGTACGCTGCTTTTCTATCTTTTTTTTCCCCTTTTCTTTCTTTCTCTCTGTCAGCGACATACACTCCTAACACAGGACAGGTTGTTCTAATTGACTTAGTTGATCATTAAGCCATAGTGATGCACTGATCAGCTCTGATAGCACCTGAATCAGCATGTACGCATCAACCATCCAGCCGTTATAACATGATTGAGCTAGCAAAGCAGTTTTGTGTTGCTATGTGTGGTATTTATTCAGTTTTGGAAAATCACGAGAAAGCATCAGTGGCTGCAGCTGACAGGGACAGCTAACGTTAACACTAGCAGCAAAGCTAACATCAGGATCGTCATCCGTTAAAAGCCTCCCGTTGTCGGATACGACATGAAACTATTCCAGTTAGCTCAATCATGCTGTAACTAAGACATCCGCTGGAGAAAATATTTTTTTCACGGGCCACTTTGTGAGTTTAGTGAGTTATTACAGACACGGCTAACGGCTAACAGCTAACGGTTAGCCCAGCTAATCTACAATAACCATGTTATTAATTACACACAGAGAAAATACTAATGTTTGTTCAGTCATTGTGTTTATAGACTTTACAAACATCAGATTAGTCTAAACGGTGATATAGTGACGTGAAAAATGTGATATATACATATATATATAGCTAAACTCAGCAAGGTAAACAACAAGGCGATTCCCATTTACACAGTGGTAAGAGTGCTGGACCGGAAGTGTCGCACAAAAAAACGGAAGCTGGCTGCGTTCTGTTTTGCCTCCGTGTTTCCGTGAAAAATAAGGTGGATAACCAGCAAGCTTCAATTCCTCTTTAGCAGCAAGGCAATGGAGATAGTGCATAAAAGACACCTCTCCATGCTTTGGAGTACACCGCTTGTTTGGTCATTACTGCAAAGCCTCGCCTCAGTGAGTTCTCAACTTGCAAGTCAATTTGTTTATAAGTTAGCCCCCTACAACGGTTGTAACAGCAACACTGCACATAAAATGGCTGCCACTCTAACCATCCTGCTATGCTGACTTGAATGGCAAAGTCCACTCTACTCTTATTCTGCATCTTTGGTTTTACTTGTATTTTTCATTGCCTGAAATGCACCAAGAGCTGTTTCACAAAGATAAATGGAAAATTTGGTGCTCCAAAGGTTTGTGAAGAACTTCAGAGACCAGATGATAATCATGGGTTGGGTGATGTCAATATCAGATGAAGTGAAATAAGTTTCACTTTCTATAGACTCCTCTACAATTTAAAATTACTCCTGGAGCTTTTGGACTGAGAAAATAAGCTTGCCTACCCGCATCTAAGCTCCTTGGCAGCATGCCTTACCGATTAGAATCCACAAATGGGATAAGGAGGGGATAGAAGGCGTAGAGGTCTCGCACTAGTAAAGTGAACTTCTCCTGTATGTGCAGCTCTGCCTCAGAGGTATCACCCCCTTCTGCTTTCATCTGCTCCTCCTCTAGCAGCACACACTCAGCCCTCTTCCTCAGTTTTTCCATCAGTGGCAGGAAGTGGCTCTTTAACAGCTCAGTTCGGGCTTTGCATATAATTGGCTGAGAGAAAACTGAAAGATTTGACAACTGTTAATAGTGTGAAAAATAAAAGGTGTAACTGATGTGGACTAAAGAAAGCCACACATAAGTAACAGTATTGTATATGAGCACAATACCTGCCAGCTGTTTCATCCAGTCGCCCTTGCTAGCTCCCACATGGTTGAGGATGATACGGAGGATGTGGCCGAGAAGGTCACTAGCATGTTGAGGAATGACAGCGGTACAGATGGGGCTGTCTGGCTGGCCCTCAGGGCCCCACTGCCACCAACGGGACATGTAGCTGCACAGCATAGGCAGAGTGACCTCCGTGACATGGATGTAGTTGGCCTGGCGAGCACCAGCACCAGCGCCTGCCAACTCCTCCGCTTCCTCCAGAGCCTGCTCCAGAGAGGGCAGATGGGGACACATGTCCTCCACCTGATCTGGCAGCCCCAGGTCTAACAGAAACAGATATGGAAAATAAAGCCAAAAAAACACAGTGTATAAAAGGATGGTGGACTACAAGTGGACTTGTATGGGGTCCATCTTCAGTGTATGACATACAGTCGATGTCTCCCAGCACGCCCCCAGTTTGAAGAAATGGAATGCCAACACAGAGGCTAAGCAATGCACTACTTTATTCACATAAATAAAGTCCCTTCTACAAAAAACTTATAACAGTTTCAGTGTACGCTAGATTGAGAGTATTTTTACCGCTTTACCTTTCCATCAGACAGCCCATTCTGATGGGAAAGCTGTTAACACCTTCAGTTCCCCACACACACTCTCTTAAAACCCACCAGATTCCATTCACAAAAATGTGACTTTGGTTAATCCAAACCAATCATTTTAAATGCCAAAGTCACACAATAACACAAACAAAAAACTGAACGGCAGCCCAGCAGCTCCTGCATTCAGCGACATTTATCGCTGTTTTTTTTTCAATAGTCTGGCTGTGAAGAGACAATGCAATGGCTTTAGTTTCCTGTCAGATATTGTTGTCTGATGGCAAGATAAAGCAGTGAAAATATTCTAAATAAAGTGTCACTTAAACTGATATTGATTTAATTTTAGGTGGTGGAAATATGGTTTGTTTCTGATCCCTCCACAGCAGTGCATTTATCAGCCTCCGTGTCAGACTTCAGCCTGCTTCTCCAAACTGGGGGCGTGCTGACTGATATCTACTCTAGGTAATACACTGACTACTGAGTAGTAAAGCACCTCATACAACCCCACTTCAAAATATCCTAACTATCCCTGTAAGATAAGGGGTGAGAGCTTTTCATGGAGCCTGAGATTAAACAGACAACACTGATAAATATCTGTCTGTATACAATGTGTTTGTTTATTACCTTCTCTCTCAGCAGCACTCATGATGTTGTAGATGGAGTAAGGGTTGTTGTGGTTGAGGGATGGCTCCAGGAAGCATACAGGAAAAGTCCCAGTCAGGGCTGCCAGACACGCACCTGCTGCTGGCCTCTGCCTGTATGGGAATGCCATGTTAGGACAAAGCATGGGGCTGACTTGTGTCCAAATCGTATCAAACTGTGTGGGGTAAGATTGCTGATGTAAGTTTACTTGCCAGCAACTTTTTTTCTATCTCACGTTCCAAAATTTACCTTATCTTATCTTGGCCTTAATATATTTATTAATAGCCTTAATCCTAGGTGTCTGATGATTTCTATTCTAAATCGAAAATCCATGAAAATGAGCTTCTGATTTCAATAATCAAAATCAAAAGCAGGATCAGTGATTCTCCCAGTATAGTGGAGTATACACATAAAAGAGGACGGTAACAGTTAATGAAGAAGTGCCAAATTTTTAACTAGAATTATATTTGAAAAAATACATTTTTAAACATTTTATTGAAAGAAAACATGACATTATAGTCATTAGCACAAAAAGGTAGTACCCCTCCATGTAGATGCTGCTACTGGTGCCAAGAGAGTAGAGGCTGTTGACGATCCTGTAACAGGACACCTGGATACTCCCCACTGGAAAGACAAGGTGATGCTTTAAGCTGAGATCCTTGTTAGGTTCCTTTCAAACACAGCCAAGGATGCTGAGTAGGGAAGCTGATAACGAACAATCATGAAGAGATAGATGAGCTGGATGGCTGATTTAGGTAATGAATGATTCCTGGAAGGTCAGGATATTAGTGAGGGAGACAATATGTTCCTGTTGCTCTGTGGCCATGACTGAGACACTTAATGAGCACTGGTTTCAAAGATGTGTAAGGTAGGAAGTTGAGGGGAGGGTGTCCCTGTGTGATTGCAAGGGTGTGGAAACCAGCTGTTCATTCAGCTCCATAGCATGCAGAGGGTAACAGATGAGACGGCTGAACACGTGGTGGTGGTGGTTGTATATGTACTGTTGTAAAGGTACAGGAAGGTATGTTAAAGTTCCTAAACTGGCATTGATTAAACCCCTAAAAACCCACATCTGTTCATCAAATTTACGTATTTAGAAGGTTTAGCCATTAAAAAAAAACTCCCACCATGCCTTAAAATAGCTTAGATTTAACTCGACACCTTTGCCTTATTTAGTATGCACACATCTATGAATATGCAAATAAGCCCTGTCTCTATCACCATGCACCCCTCAACCGTCGCCTGCAGCTCAACTCTACCTACTCACCTCCAGCTTTGCTCATCAAACACACATAAACCTGATGTTTTCTGTTTTGCTAGCTACACAGTGGCAAGTAGTAATATAGGAGTGTGTCGAACTAGATACTGATTTCAAAGAAGAAGAAAAAGACGACAACGAAAATGACAAAGAAGAACAACTGTTCAGGGTTGCTAACATGTCAACTTATCAGACTGGTAATGTTTTTATAGATCACTTTCTACAATGTTGTTAACATAACAGTAATAGATAACATTACCTTTCAGCTTCACTAGTTTATTAAGTAGCTAATGATTATTTGTTGCTAACATCAGTCAAACCTTGTTACTGATTGCCACCTCTGTCAAGTTGATCTGAAAGTGAAACCTAGCATGTAAAATACCGATACGTAGCTACATCTGGCCTCTCCTTTGACACCCCTCATTTAGTGTTAGCCCCACCAAGCCCCTCAAGTTGACTGGATTAGTTCCTTAAGTATGTGACTGGCTGTCTGAATCTGTGTTTCTGAGAATGTCATTGGTAGACTACAATTCAAGGCAAAAATGCTCACCCATGGCATCGGCTGCTTATTTTGCTGATGGTGTGTATTGTAGTATATGAAAACACCATATGGACATGTCAACAAGGTTAAAAACTCTCCAACTTTTCATTTGAAGAGGTCTTTAACAAACTGCCATTGTAACAGTGTATTTTAGGGAGCATTCTAAGGTGAATAATGTGTCGTACAAAAATTTGAGGCATGCCTCTTTTACGGTGGTCGACATCCAGGTCGCCCTTACCTAGGAGGTCCAACCCATAGTTTTGGCTGCCAAGATGCTGGAAGAGGGATGTGAGGGTGGGCAGGAGTATGGAGGTTGTGTAGCTGAGAACCTTGGCCACCCCTCTAGCCTGCTGACTCCTGCTCTGAGGCAAACAGACCAAGGTCACAGAAAGATTTTCTACAGTCATCTCCAGATCAGCTGCAGCTGCCTCGAAGAATGAATGCAGAGATGCTTGGATACACTCTGGGGCTGACTTCATCAGTGCCCTAAGACCAAAGGGTGAGAGAATGGCAGTTAATATTAT